TGTACAATCTCATAGTCGTAATCAGCGAGTAAGATTCTCCAACGTGCGAGGCGCGATGTAGGATCCTTAATTGAGAATAACCATTGCAGTGGACGATGGTCCGTCACGAGGGTGAATTTTCGACCGTAAATGTAGGTTCTAAATTGCTTCACTGCGCTAACTATAGCGAGGCATTCCTTTTCCGTAGTGGAATAATTTTGTTGACATGGCGTGAGCACTTGAGATGCGCAAGCAATCGGGGGATCTTCTCCTATTTTGCCTTGACTTAAAATAGCTCCGGTCGCTACATCTGATGCATCCGTAGTTATAATGAACGGATTATCGAAATTTGGGTACCTCAAGACAGATTCTTTGCAAAGAGCTTGTCTCAGATCTTCGAAACTTTCCTGGTGGGCGTCCGTCCATACGAATGGAATTTTAGTGCTTGTTAAATTAGTCAACGGTTTCGCTCTCTTCGCTAGATTTGGAATGAAACGACGGTAATAATTTACTAACCCTAGGAATTGTTTAACGGATTTCCTGGTTTTTTGGTACCGGAAATTCTGAAACCGCGCGTATTTTATCAGGATTCGGTCTTACGCCTTCTGCCGAAATAACATGACCTAAATACGCGACTTCGTGTTTTAGAAAATCGGCTTTGTCTGTTTGCAAGGTGAGATTATGTTTTCTAAGACGTTCGAAGAAGTTGTTTAATCGGCGGCCATGTTCTTCAAGAGTGTCGGAGTATACGACGACGTCATCCAAGTATGTGTATAGTTCCTTGCCAATTAGACCTTTGAGTATCTCGTTCATTAGCCGTTGGAAAGTGGCCTGGGCATTTTTTAAACCGAATGGCATGCGTACGAATTCGTAATGACCCTCGGGAGTGGAAAAAGCGGTTTTACTTCGATCTTCTTTCGCCATAGGTATTTGATGGAATCCGTTTGCTAAATCAAATACGGAGAAGTATCTTGCGCCGCCCAACCGGTCCAGAATATCGGTGATCCTGGGGAGGGGGTACTTGTCATCCACCGTTTTTTCATTTAGTTTACGATTTTATTTTCTTCCGAATCGGCTTTCTTCGGAACGACCCAAAGCGGAGAATTGTAAGGTGATCTCGATGGGACAATAATGCCTAAATTTTCCAAATTGCGGACCTGTTTCCTCACTTCCTCTTCTTGTGTGGGCGGAAAAGGGTACTGCCGAGTAAAGACGGGAGTCTCATCCGTAGTCAGGATGGTGTGCGCCGTCGTATCGGTTCTTGGCAGTGGGTCGCCGGGAACGAAAAATCTATCCGAGTACTTTTGGACGGAGCGTTCGACAAGTGCGCGTGATTCGTCGCTTAATTGTTCGAGCTTCAACGTCTTCCGGATTGTAGCTAGTCGTTCTGTCACCGACGTGGGCAAGACTTCGTATTCCCCGAAATCGGCATCTTCATGCGCGAAGAGTGTTTCCTCAGAAGGAGGAGATAAATTGTTCTCGGAACTGTCATCGAGCTGTGGAGGTTAGTCCAGTTCTTCGCTATCCAGTTCTGGATGTTGACGCGAGATAAATTCGAAGAGTTTCTTGATTACGTTGATGTAAGGCTAGTGCATTTTCTAATTCCTTCGAGTTTGAAAATGGAACGGGATGTATTAGACGATTTGCCGTCACGAGGGTGCGATAATGATATGATACAACGGCTTCCTCTTGGAGGAGGTATGAACTGCCAATTAGACCGCATATTCCCTTTGGTAAATCCGGGGTGTCAACAACATAGAATAATGCCCAACTTCCGTTAACTTTCATACAAATGGCTCCTAGGGTGGTAATCCATCCATTGAGGCCCTTTACGGAAATTTCGTCTTTATCGACGATAGGTGCATTGGGGTGAATTGCTTCTATGGTGATTAAATTTAAAAAGCGCCAGAGTCTACTAGAAATTCACCTTCCCCTTCTTCCAGTTGTTTAGCCTTGATCCGGATCCGGGGGCACGGTGCATGTGCGAGAAAGGGGGTTTCTTGTTCGATTGGAAGACCCGATTCCTCTGAGCCGACGAGGCTGACGCGCCCGCTTCGCTCCTCTCCTGAGAGCGGGCGCGATTGTAGTTTAAAGGCTCGCGATGGTCAGAAGAAGATTCGCGTTTTGCTCGCGTATTATACCGAGACTTATCTCGACGACGCCTCCCCTTGCATTGACAATTGCATTGGCATCCTACGGTAGAGGTGGAACCTGGTACTTGCGCGACTCTCTCCGGACAGGAGAAATTGTGTGCTGTATACGCGCTACGAGGTAATTCGTAATTTGGTTCATCGCGGGGTTCTCGCCATTCCGTCCATCTACGGTTTACGTCGTAAGGGGCGGGAGGACGAGCCTGAGGTGCATACGCGTAAGGTGGTTGCGCATAAGGCACATGTGCAAAATTTTCAGCGCCAAATAATTTTGCGGCTTTGAATGCTTCATTAATTGCCTGATTCAGTGTATTAGGATGGTTGCAAGATACTCGATGTGCGTAATGTGAAGGTAAACCAGCGATGAACGAGCTTATAGCCGTACTGTTTAATTCTTTTGCCTTTTTATTATAAAAATTTTCCCCTTCGTCCCTAGCACTTGCGGTAGCTCCTTCTATTAACATAACGACTCTGTCTATGTATTCGGTCAGCGGTTCGTTAGGGAACATATATACGCGTTGCAGGTCGTACAAGATTGCCTGGTATGATCGACAAGGCGAATATCGATCCCGCAAAATGCGAAGAAATTGGTTCACGGTTCTACAGTTTTCTTCTCTTATGCAATAACGATCTCGATCGGTCAGTTTGCAAGTTAATCCTGTCAGAAATTGTTCCTCGTATTCAGTCGGAATTCGTGGATACAGATTATTTACTGCTCGAAGAAATTGCTTAATAGGAACATATCTAGAGTCGAAAACAGGTATAGCGTCTAACGTGCGATAGACATGATCAAGATCGTCGATGCGTGAGCGATAAAAGGTACTCTGGAATTCATTCGCGTTTCCAGCGTGAGATCGAGCAAAGGTCTGTGCTGTTGGAGGGGTTGGTGGCACGGGAGGAGGAGGATTGGAGGGACGGCTGATTTCTTGTGGCGGTGTGTGGCCTATCATCTTGTGGCAGGTAATAGTTTGATATGTGAGACACTAAGCGTTCTGTGTCAGCGAAAAGCTTAGGCAGGTTACGAACCGTGATCGAAATAAATGTTAGATTACGAAAGCAAAGATTTTGGTTTCGATATTTCGATCAAAGGATCCCACTTCTGACAACAATTTGTAACGTCCCGCGTTGCGGTCGTTACTCTACTTATAATTTCGGGTCCTGGCTCTTTTAAGGTGCTGAAGCACGCCCTGTCTAAACTTATCGGTGAAGTACGCGGTTTGGATTTGGAACGGGAGCAATAGGAAATCACTCTCGTTTATAATAATAATAAAGATATATTCTAACAATCAAAATAAAATAAAAGATACAAATAAGTCTTGACATACCAATGGTGATGAAAATGAATGATACGTTCGTGTCGCTTTAGTCGGTTCTATCGGGATTTCGGGTCCTTGAAAGGGCGGAAGACCCGCTGGCGCTCGGAGCCGTGATACAGGGTTTAAGCACTGCGGGATACGTTGTCGCCGTCTCGGACGTTGCACTTCGCGGTCCGGTGTCTTATAAAACTCGTCTGTAGGCCGCGCGTAATCGCGAGGTCGCGTCGCACAAGGAAGAGATATCGTCGCGAAACCCGAACTGAACAGCTGAGTGACCGTTGTCGCTCAGCCCGCTGTCGCGTATAAGAGATTAAAGCGGAGCGCGATTGTCGAAGAGCAAACGAACAAGGCGTAGAAGAATGTCACACGAGCCGAATCTGTCACGATGTAAATGAGAGCCGGAATACTGAGCTTCCCCGGTTTTGAACAATCCTTTTGTAAGTTTTTCCGCCCTTCCCTTTGTTAGAAAACGCGCAAGATAGGGGGTAGCAACATGCTATGATTCATGATGGTCGCCGAAGCGAAGTTTTAGAATAGCTGACGTTTCTGTCAGCGTCTCGAAGAAGGACAACCACGCCCGTTGCTTCCACGTGTCGCTGAATTAACGGTTTTCGCTCGTTCTTCGCGTTTGAAAGTAATATGATAAAAGTGTGCAATGAAAAGAGGTTCTGAGAATACAGGATATAACAAAGATCAAGAATCCCTTACAAATAAAAGCAGTTTGAAAACGTATGAATCTTCAACATCACTTATCAAGAGAACGATTGAGTTCTGACGCAAGATGACTCTTCAACTTTTCATCCTCACGATAAATAGAATATAATGCAACGGTAAAAAAATTTGACCCTTAAATCCAAAGTCAAGGTTATTTTTTGCGGCATTTTACCTATATCTCCAACAAATCGGCGGTGCAGAATACCGCTATGGTAGTCGCGACATGTAACTTCTTGACACCCTATACAATTTATTTATATTTCCGTGGAATTATTTTACATAGGCTTAAAAATATACGGCAAATATGTCCAATGTTTCAAATTATGTAGTTTTACAGTTTGTGAAATAAAGATTCCCGAAGAATTTTTTTCTTTAAAATTTTCAAAGACTATTTAAAATTTCACTAGCTGATAGAAATCATGAAAAGGAATAAAAAATTCTTAGTAGGTACACATACATCGAAAAATCATTTGATTTCGAGTTAATATAGAGATCTCGTTACATGCTCGGAAATTTTAAACAACTTTACCAGCATATTATCAATTGCCATGTAGAGAAAAAAGAAAAATGATAAAAATGTAAATCTTCATATATTATGATCATTATATTAAGTTTACGAGTGCTTGGCGGATCTGCTTTCAGAATGATTTATTCTCTACAATTCATAAAGAAGGTAGTTAACAAAATTTAAGTTAAATACCTTGAAAACCAAATATATCCATTTCTGTCATTTAAGTCATGATGTTTAATCATGAAACGCCTCATATTTAGAAATATATAGAAATTTCCCAAGAATATCCAAGATTATTTTCAAGATTTTTTATTTGATTGAAACGTATAGCCTGGTGGAAGACTTGGACCTTTGTATTTTGTGGTTCGAAGACTATTCAAAGGAGTTCATAAAATCCTGCAGAGTTAGTCCAGACGTTTACATACAATTGGCATTACAATTAACACACTTCAGGTAAGTCTTTTCAATATTAATTGTTAATAAACATAAATAAACACGGCTTTAAATAATTATAATACCTATTATAAAAATTGAAGTAAATAACGCTTCGCAAAATTAAAATCTCATATATACATATATAAACTTTATTGATTCCCCTAGGGGTTACAATTTCTCCTACTTTACTCGCTCCTTAAGAACTACGCTTACCCTACGCACTTACAGTTTCTATTTTCTTATATCTACCCCCGCATGTCCACACACACACACCCCGTTTCCCTATGTTGGACCTCCACTTCCGCTCGTCTCACCTATCACTCTCATTTCTTCTATCATTCATTCTACCATCCATTCTCCCTTTTCTTGACTCCTTCTCTCCTTTCTTCCACCTTCCTCATCCATTCTCCCCCCCCCCTCATCTCCTAACACTTCCCTTACTATTTCCTGCCACCCCCTTTCTTCTTTCCAACCCATGCATTCTTCCCACCCATGTTCCCACGTTTCTTCCCTCCACCCACAGATCCTGCACCTTCTTTTTTCCTCTTCCATCCAATACCTATTTTCCCTCATCTCATTGCCTAACCTAAATCTGGCCACCCTTTGCCACCTACTTTCTCCCCACCCTTTCATCAGATACCCAGGAATCCCTCTTCCTTTAACCATTTTGTACCATTTATTGTACTTTGAACTTTCTATATTTTTCCACCTATCCTCTTGTAATCTTCTCTCTCTATTCACCATTTCCTCTGCACGTGGCTCTCCTCCTTCTCTCATTCCTTCTATCTCCTCCACTGACCATCCCCTTTCCTCGTAATACTCCCTTCTTTCCTCTTCCCGTCACTCTAATACTTCCCCTTTCCTCGCCCACCCTTTTATTTCCTCCCAACACCTCCTTGCCAGCTCTCCTCCTTGTCCCTTCTCTAATTTCCTTTCATATCCCCATGCTCTCATTCCTGCCTTCCCTTTTAGTTTTGCTCTTTGCATTTCTTCTCTTATTATATACCCCGGTGTACTCCTTTCTACCCCTAGTACCCACTTTAGGAATCTTTCTTGCAGCCTCTCTATTTTTACCCTCTCCTTCCATCCCCACACCTCCACTCCATAGTTAACTGTTGCCCATACCATTTTATCAAATAACCATATCCTTCTTCCCCAATTTTTCCCAAACCTCCTTTTTCCTATCCCCCACACCTGTCCCATCACCGCTGCCCCCTTCATCACCCTCACCTCCATGTGTGCCTCTTGTCTCCCATTCCTCATCAAGGTATATCCCAGATATTTAAATTTCTTTACTTCCTCCACCTCCTTTTCTCTCCACCTCCACGATACCTTCGTCCATCTCCCCCCACCCCTCTTACACCTCATAATTTTCGTTTTCTTCGCGTTTAGCTGTAACCCCTTCAATTAAAATCTCATAAAATCCACAGTATTTCATAGTACAATCAACATTAGCAATACAAAAAAAGACAAGACCTTATCTAAAAAATATGAATTAGTTCATGTATTTATGAGCTTTTAACGTTATATGTACATGTGTTTTTATTATTTTTAAATACATAGATATTTTTGAGGCTCTTTGCGAAACTTTTTTTAATGGTATTATGTTTAAAAAATATTTTCATTATAAAACTAAGGAAATACAATTTTAAAATATTTATATTATTAAGTATTATTTTTTGAGACGGTCACGTTTACATGCTGGGCATACAAAGTTCAAGTCTGTAGTTTTGCATCCCAATCTGGGGACACATGTCATCATTTCTAACTCCACACCGATATTCTACTACTACACAGCGATGGCGAAGCTCGAGCTCGAGGCCCTCACCGACACTGTACTAACCAGTGCCAGTATGGCTCGAGCTCGAGACCCTCACCTATATTACTACGCAGTGGCGGTTGCTCGAGCTCGAGCTCGAGCCACCGTCACCATGTATACAATGTAATGATTAGCTGGTTCCACATTACATTTGGATTTTCGTGGTTCTTATTACACTAACTAGAATAAAAACCTCGTGAATTATAAAACAAATTATATTTATTAGTCAATACTTCTGTAGCGTCTTGGCCCGGTCGTTCGCATGTAAACAAACATCGGTCGCTATACGATTTACGCGACAGCTCCGTCACTGCGTGCGAGCGCTGTCGAGACCATGTGTCCCCACTCCTGACTCTGTCATTGTGTGCGTGTCGCTCTCGAGACCGCGTGTCCCCACTCCTGACTCTGTCACTGTGTGCATGCACTCTCGCGAACGCGTGACGCAGGGACCGTGCATGGAGGGTTAATTTCTGTTTACCCTGTTCTGATCTGTTCCATAGGAGGACCTGCCCAGTGGTGGGAATAACGCCATTGTTCGTGTGGCATTCATCGAGGAATCACTGTATCTACGTTCTAGGCCATATTAGATGATATTAACACGTTGAGCGCCACGCGTATTTCTAAGACAATCCCGTTCAGGCCACGCTTATAGTTATAACATTTTATAGTTCTCATGTTACACGCTGTCAGCCACCGATGGGTGACGCGGCCTAAACGGAAAGTCTAGTGTCAGCCACCGATGGCTGACATGGCGCTCAACGTGTTAATAGACATTTCTATAAGAAACTACGTTATTGCTCAACAATAATACCAATAATTTCATATTATTAAATGAAATTGTTAATGACTCATTGATCCGTTTATCACTGACTGTTTCTTTTTGTGCAGACTGCATGGGAACTTGGTTGCAACGTACGAAAGCGCAGGCATCAGAAGATTCGCTCTGGGAAGGGTCGACTGCATCAGAGCGGCCAGTCCAGAGGCTCTGGCGTGGGCGAAAGCCATGTGTCAAGGGGATCCAGAAAGTCAAGCCGTGAATGAACAGAACAACACCCCAGACAAAGGCACCAAAAGAGTTCAGTTCACCATTTACAGTGTAACTGCAACTTGGCTGTATTTCGTAGAAATCATTTCTAGTTACAATTCGAGTAGCTGATAAAGACGGTGCGCCTAAAGCACACAGATCCGTATATATCTGAAAGTACAATGACGATGCAATTATTTTTCTTTCGAGGAATTTTACGACGAGATAGCATAAGTATGGAAAATTTATTTATTATATATTATTTCCTATATTGTTTCATTATTCTATCTATTATTTCATTATTATTATGTTCCGAATTATTTCTCACAGTCGTATGAAATTTCGAAGTTTACAATGAATATAATGGTTTATGAAAGCATTTTTAATGTCGTGAGACGATTAAAAAATTATTTCGAATGTTCGAAAAATTTTATCTACAGAATAGTAAGCGAGTTAGAGTTATAGGGAGATCATGCGCCATAGTAGAGATCAAGAAACTAAATGAAGAATTCTAAATCACGATGTTTAAAATGTTTAAGAGATAAATGACTGGTTTTGTTTATTGTACTCAGGAAACTGAGTGTAATAGAGTCTCGGGTAAAAATATTATTAGCAGAACAGAAACAGAAAGACTTGTTAAATCGACACAATGACTTGATGATGAAACCGGAAACTTGAAAATATGTCTAAAAATAATAAAAACTTCATTAACTATTAATACAAAATGGACGGCATATATTAATATCATTTATGCAAATAATTTAATACAAAATAACGGTCACTATTAATAAGAACGTCTACAGTACATTACGCATCGCGTTAATCGATTATATCGATAGTCGCGTTCTTATCACGTTGGCTGAGGTGTTCAAGCAGCTGATTAGTTATAAGATGTTCTTAAAGCATCATAGGTTCCAGCCCAGTGCCCGAAGCTGTCATTTTACTCGATATATTCGCGATTTAATTTCTGATATACATATAAAACAGAGTAAACAGAAGAGGCAATAAAAGAGGGTGAATGTGGTGGTAAATTAAACAACGAAATAACAATTGTTTATTAATCAACGAAGTAACCCTAGGATCATAATAACAATGATAAAAGCAACAAAACCAACAGTAATATATACAGTAATAATAAAAATAATATGAATGAATAATGTTCATTCTTCTAATATCAATTTATCATTCTTAATATTAAGAACATTTTAACCCTTTGCGCTCGAGGCGCTTTTTCGTCGGGTGAACCAGCAACTCGAGAGTAATCAGCCGCTCCCGCTTATTTCATGAGTTCGTTATTGTTAACTTAAAAAATTTTTAGACACAATAAAACACTTTAAACTCGTATATTTGAACATTAAAAACATAAAAAAAAATTTGAACATAAAAAATATGTAATTTTTTAACTTAATGAAAGACATTTATTTATTCTTATGGGCAAGCTGTCTATGTAGTGATGTAATTTCGTTTGTTACTGCCGAAAAATTGAACTCATCTTCACTAGAAGTAATTTCTTCGTCGTATTCCATACTTATTGGGCTCAGTAACTTTGAAAGAAATAATGCGATCGACAAGAAGGTTGAGTTCGAACTGATGTCGAAGCCAGAGTTCCAACCGCGGTCGCTAGTATTTTTGAGATAAGACATTTTATCGCATAAGCGGTGCTAAGACGTCCTTTATTTCAGATAACACACCCTTATAGCTATTTAGACACCGCGTAATATGATCTACAAAAGGCCAAGTAGACCTTTCAAGCGATATTCCTTAGGTCAAACACAAATAAACACATCGATTCGAATGGTGCCTCTCAGGCACCGCTCGAGTTATCGCATCACATGCAGTGGTGCCTGAGAGGCACCGCTCGAGCGCAAAGGGTTAATACAATAACCTAATAACGATAAATTCCTGAAAATCTTACAAAGACGTATTGAATACGAAAGTAAAGGTGGAGGAGTTTCTTTGTTTGTGACACGAGTTTAAGTACTCGCGTGTACATGTATACCCACAATCCCAAAAACGGCAATGCCAAAGATCTAAATACGGATCTCCCGGAGGGACATGAGGTATACAAGTCGTGGGGCACCGAAAAGAAATGACAAACGAAAGCGAAACCCTCGAAAAAAAGGCAATCAATTAGAGCAGACCGTGTTCGTTCTCTTTCCTGGATCGAGTGTTTGCGCGATACTCGAGTGGCCTCGGGCAACCTTCATGGGGCTTTTCCGTTTGCTTTCTTTCCACGGTCCACCCTCGCGCGGGAAACTACCGCAACGAGCCCTGGCTGTTGTTTCTCGTTTATCACGATGTTATTTCAGCCGTTCCGTTTCTCCGCAATTACGCCGGTGTTCATCGAAAATGTACGATAATGAAATTGACTCCCTCCGCGCCTGTAGTTTTCTACCCTAACGAGCTTATACACCGTTCCCATCGTTGCGACCGTTCGACCACTACTGAAAATGAATTAGAGGAAACGTCGAAATCGATTACTGTAGGGGGAACTCGCGATAGTATTCGCATAGTTATAATAATTTTCGAAAATAATAAAATCGTAATTTGTTCATATTGTTTACTTCCTTTTTCACATATGAGTATATAACACTTTAGTACACAATCCAGAGTCAGTCAATTGTAGGTAACAATATGTTTGATATTCTATGCCTAAAGAAGGTTTCGCAGCTAAAGAAGGAGTATATTAGGCTGGCGCATATGAGATCAGAGACTTTAACCGGTATGATTTTGATACCGGTATTAGGCCATCAAAGCTATACCGAAACCGATATATTACCGAAAACCGAAATAATTACCGGTATTTTTTCGGTTTCTATAAGGGTAGGAAGGTACAACCGAAAATACCGGTATAATACCAGTATTTTACGTTTCGGTAGAAGTCTCTGCACGAGATGACGTTTTTCCAGAGTACCAATTTGCCGGGCCAATAACATCCATTCAAATTTATCTGATTTTTTATTGTTTTAAAAAACTTCAAAAAGAAAAAATACGCTGTAATAGACGTGTTTTGAATACTGTCAAGGTAGATAACAGAAATATGAGAAAAAAAAATTAAACCCTTAAACTTGGTACAAGTGCCACAAAAGTTGGTGAAAACATAAATTTAGCATTTGGAGAAGCCCATGATTTTTTAATAGAAAATTATCATGAGAAAGATCAAACAATGTCATCGACAATCATTTTTTCAAAGATATTATTGAAAATAATCCACGACAAACAACAAAAGAAATAGCGTTTAAATAGTGTTGAGGAAACAACGTACGGTTAAAGTTTCATTTGTGAAAATCGCATTAAAATGGCATAATATTTTGAATACAAACATATATTCTTAAATGGTTCAAATAACTTAATGTTGAGTTTTCGTTTCGTGAGACATTTTTTTCTATCATCACTTGATCAGTAGAAGAATCAAACATACATATAATGAGGAATAAAGGAATTTTTATAATACTCTTTGTTTAAGTAATAGTTTTCCATAATTCTAGAAATGGCTCTGATAATTCTTCTTCAAAATGATGAAAAGGACAACGGTCGAAAATTTGGCTTCACAAGTCATGAATTTATACAAACATTTTGGTCTCAAAACGGGTTTCACAGTTTGATTATTACCCATCGTATTCGCCTAATTCAGCTACTAATTCCTTTTACTTATTTGTTTTAATGGTAATTGAAACGGTACGATTTACTTCGTGTTTCAGCAAGAGCGAATGAAGGAATTATTCGATTTGGCGGTGCAGATGCAAACTAAAGAGATGAATGACAACATAAATGGACAAGGAATTGACAACCATTTAATGGGGCTACGTTACGCCGCGAAAGAAGCCGGCGAACCGGTCCCGGATATCTTCACGGATGAAGCTTACAGGATCGTCAATCATTTCGCACTCTCGACGTCACAGGTCAGTGATCATGATTACTAGTAAATCGGTACTTAAGAGTTTTAAATGATTTCATAAGCCTTGGAGATCTTCAAATTACCATCGGCTTGTCACAAACGATGGCCATGTTATTTTTCGTTAATTATGTACATCATTTGTTAGTTATACCTATTTTCGATTGACTGACTCGATGAGTTAGTTAAGCACTTATTTGTCACTGATCACATGTCCAATAAACGATACCAATAATTATCACTTGAATTTTCAATCAAGCATGATAATCTGATTTAACTTAGACAGCATTGTGTAAAGAAAGGAAAAATCATTCATTATTTTCAAGGTATTCTAATGGTTATGTATAGAGGTACTTGACTGTATTGAAATTCTAAGTACTCACAATGAAATTATATGTTGACGAAAACATGAACAGAAACGACAGATTCGGACGTTTGACAGAAACAGCAATACTTAATAACAATAACAAGAAGGATAAAAACATAACAATGCCTAGAGGAAAAGAGCAAAGAACAGGCAGCAAACGTGAAGAAAACCATAGATAACAAAGAAAATGAAATAGTGTAAGCATGAGGAGTAATACAAAATAAGTAAAGCAACAGGGACAGTAATAATGCCCACAAAAACGGTTTAAGAACACGAGAAGCAGTAATAAACACGCAAAGTATCAAAAGTATGTATCACCAATTATAAATTGATTATTTTCTTCTTATACGAAATTTTTGGAATTTGAAAATAAATATGCCCAATTTATTTAACATCACTATTACATCTTTTTGCACCCTAAATAGAGAATTAAATAATCACTTTATCTTCCAGACTAACTCCCATTTATGTAACTTATTTAGGATAAGAACCCTTTTTTTAACTAACACTAGTCACTGTTCTGATTTTTTTTAATCTTCTTGAATCTCATGATTCATAGACAAATTTATTTCATGAAACATATTCCTACAAATGTGTCGTTTCTTTGTTAAGTGGTATTACTACACTTTCCTTTATTTCGAGATATTTAATGTTTTATATTCTACTCTATTTAAAAATATTTTTAAACGCTAGTAAGCTTGTTTTATATTTCTAAAATTCCTGAAACGTTTGAACACCCTTAAACACCCTACTTTCACATGAAGTATAACATATTTTAATTTGAACAAAATCCCAAACATCGTGTACAAAAGTGATACGCTTGGCATGGAATGACCGTACACAAATTCGCTCTTCCACCACGTTTCGTACACCGTCGCCACCAGCACAATCCAGCTCTTGCGCAGGCGTTGCAGCCGAGACTCGACGCCAAACTTACCATAGAGGGGGCTCTTGATATATTGTTGTTTCCGTGAATTTTACTCTCCTGTAACCCCGGTCGTGGCAATATAGCAAGAGTCCACTTTATTACACGTATACAAATGACATGGCAGTCGAAGTGTTTCACAAGATATCCTCCATGCAACACATTAAACAACAGACAGAACATGTAGAAGAAAAATGTTTTGTGTAGACGTTTGTTTTCGAGAAAATCCGTTCGAGAAAACACGTGCTCGTCGACACGTCTGACTAATATGCCTCTCTATTACTTGCTAGTTCTATTGAACGTAATATAAGCGATCGTATGGTAATATCTGTTTTCCCATCGCAATCATTCTCTCTAATTTATTAGTTTATATCAAAATGTTGTAGAAAGCTTAATGTGAACAAATAGAATGAGTGATAAATACACTACTCAAAACATCTAATGAGTTAGAGGATTATCTATTGCAGCCACTGTGTTTGTCTATGTAACCTGTAATGATTCTTAGAATTTGATTTTTTTATAAAGATAAAGGTACGCGTTAGTATCGTATGAAAAAATGTCATTTTACAATATCAAACTTGTAGCATTTTTTCGACTTGCTTGGCGCAACAGGACCGCCCAAAGTGCCGATCCCCTAATTTCTTTTTCTCCATAAGAGGTAGAGACCAAATTAAAACCGGCCACGAGAAAGAAGTACTTTAGGAAATTCCCATTTTGAAATTCAAGGCTGGCAACAAAGGTAACAATTCACAGGTTGGGTTTCGAGGACGGAAATACTATTGTACTCTCACAGTTCAACCCTCGACGCGACGGTTGGGAATGAAAGGGACTGAGAAAAATGTTGAAGCACTTTTACACTACTTCACAGTCTCGACAGCCACAAGAACCGAGAAATATCGTTATTTGCACTGTTCAGGTCAATTTGACCCGAAGTCAATGTTTGATTTTTAATCATACTTTTTGTTATAGAATTTTGAAAATTAACAGGCAAATATATTTCTTGAACTCAATTTTAATAACAGGCCCGATTTAATTCAAGGAATGATAATGCAATAGTTTATTAAGCAGTGCACGAGGGTTGACAATATTTTAATTCTTCTTATACTAGACATTTGCAGTCTTGTGCAATAAGACTCTTCTTATCCGCACTCTATTTATTCGAACGAACTTGTTTTGTGGCAATCACTACCGAATTCGTGCCTCAGAACACACTGTTGTCTGACCCGGAAATAGGGCACTCGGGGGTTGAATTCGAACAACTTTTTCCTTAGCAACAATGTAATCTGAGGCTTCGTTACCGAGACATTAAGGAAAAACCGCGACCAATCAGAGCGCGAGTTTGCCAGCCGAGTTCCCGCGCTAGCGGTGGCTACGCGCTGCGCTTGTACTATGGAGCTCCGAACAAGCAAGTCGACATACATCACAGGAAACTGCGTATAATAACAAATAAAAAAAACGTAACAAATAAAATCATACTTTTTATCATCTGTCGATTGCTATTTACACAGACTAGTGAATGAAGTATAAATGTAGGAAAATTATGTGTAACGTAAAGAGACGAATGTACGTTTACTTTTTTAAACGGAATGGAAACTAATAATTATTTGTAGAGAGGGGCTAAGGAATATGTAAATTTCCATTTCAAATAACGTATTAACGAAAAGGTAATGTAACAGAGAATTAACGAGAAGTGATGGTAGTTCGGTATTGGCATAAAAATTTGTAGTTTAATAACGGGCAACAATGTTAGTGATAATGAATAAGTTTCTTCAAAAAGCTCGAAGAAAAATTTAGGTACAGAAACTTGCAGAATTATCGCCGGAAATAAATCATAGCTTGCGTTAAATTAAAAAAAAATTAAATAAATTTATTAGAACTCACCCTTTCGAAAATTCACCTGCAGTTTGCACACCTGTGTCACTAGGTCACTGGACCGATCCTAGTCATCGACGGCCGAAACGGTTTATGGTAGGGTATCGCCCAGTTCGCAGGTGATCGCAGGTATACCTCACCAGCCGAAGTTAAGGGTTGTAACGTCAAGTGCGTCCGGGTTATTCCACCGAATACGTAATCACTTCACTGCACGACCACTAACACTGATCACCCGACACAATCACTTAATGTATTTTTAATCCAACGTGTTTGTTAATGTTGCGAGTTTATCGCGGGCCGAGTCGAACATTGGGTTGAAACGACCGCCCTAGGATAGCTAGTTCTATCCTGAAAAGGATACGGAGTGAAGGTGATGTTGCAGCGAGAAAACACACCGGAGCTTAACCATGTCTCACGAAAACACGATTACCCTCGGTGGATACTGAAGAGCCGCGAAGTGGCGATCGAGAGTAACGTATACGATAGATCTAGGCGATCACGAAAATCGTTTACACTAATCGCCGATTTTCGCCACAATTGTACTAAGAGTGTCGAGAGCGATAAATATAACACGTGTATTGTTGCGATAATTAACACACGAGTTCAAAAATAAGAAGTTTGTTAAGACCTACGATTACTACAAAGGTTCACGACAGAATGCTCAGCGAGCAGCGAAGTTTCTACTGGTTTTCGTTCAAAATTCATTAGGATTTTTCAGAGACGCACCGGATTGGTTCCACGAATATTGATCACCGCAAAAACTATCGATAGATGATCGATATTTCGGACAGAGTTGCGCAGATTCCGTAAATATACTCACGCACGCGCTCTAACGCACCACGGTCGCGAAATTCAGGGACGAAACTGGCAAATCGGCGTTGGGCGCACGCAATCGTTGACAGGCTCACAGTATAATGCGAGAGCGCACTGTCCTATTTACTTTTGACGAACGCGTCTCTTACCTTTTCATTCCGAAACAGTGTTGTTCCTACGTTAGGAAAAGTAATGACCCTGCAAGGGGCCCATTGTTTCCAATTTATCAGGTTTCCCGCCATTTTTGAAATTCAAAAAAGCGCGAGAAAAGTGCAAATTTGCTAAAATTATGTCATGGTAAAAAGTAGTGTCATGGTCACAGGGGTCCAGTTGACCACGCCGACTTTAAAAGATTGTTGATTTTAGAGTATTCGTTCTGTTGGATTAAACAAAATTATGGAAAATAATTTTAACATTGTAGAACATGAAACAACCGCGTTTTTGTAAAAACTCCAATGCTAACATAGTAAAAAAAAATCATTAATGCTCTTAAAAAATAAGTTTCTTAAAAAGTAAATAAGTAAATAAATTTCTGCATAAAAAAATCTGTTTTAGTTTCTATGTTTTTTCGATAAAACATGAAATATAGAGATACAAAGCCTTAAACTTTTATTGGGGTTGATTGGACCCCAGCTGTCTACGTAGAGTTGAATCGTATAAAATAAATCGTATATCGTGTTTTCAGGTAACTACAAAGAACGATGCAATTGTTGGATATGGACCAGTGGTTCCAGACGGGTACGGATGCGCTTACAACATCAGAAGCAACGGCTTCATATTCTCGGTATCTGCATTCCACAGCGATGGCAGAACACACGCGATGAGATTCGCGCAGACGCTCGAGCAAAGTTTACGAGACATGGCGGCAATGTTGAAAAATGCGCACGGCCACCGATCAAACAGCGACGAAATGTAATACGGTCGCTGCAAATGAAAGTATCAGAATAGCAATTATAAGGGTACAACTATTCCGAATCGGACGAAAGTATGTAGAATGGACTCTAACTATATTGCCACTAAACAAATTGCCACGTGAGGCACTTCCCCTCCACACGTACTTTCGAGCACACAAATTCGCTCGCACACCACGTTGCGTACGCCAGCGCACCAGCACGATCCAACTTTTGCGCAGGCGCTGAAGCCGAGGCTATGACGAAGGAACTTAGCATTGAGGGGCTCTGACCTCTTGCCATTTTACTCCCCTACAGCTAGGGTTGCCAACTCTGTCGAGTCGCAATAAAGGACACTAGAAAATATATTTATATTAATTCCTTTTTTATTATTATTGTAAATTATTGGAATACAATTTTAGAATTAATAATCATGTAAACGAACAATTTCTTAAAACTTCGAAAACAATCGAGAAAAGTTTTACTTTAGTAATTTAGGTAATAATATATCGACTCATTAAACACAGAAGATGCATTATTAGAATAATCATTAGAATTCAATTAAAAAGATGTTAATTCGAAAATGTAGAAAGACTTAAAAAAATATTTGAAACTTTGAAAACTAAAGCTAAAGTAAACTTTTTAATTTTTTAAATTATATTTTTTCTGAGTTTTCGCAGACGTGAGGACCTGCCAACTGTTCAAATTACAACACCAAATGTAATCATTCAGCTGTAAGAGATTTTTAATTTTGAAATGAACGACATTTGGCATTTTTTCTAATCTCGAAAAAAGACAAGGCCAAGAAAGCTGATTAAAGGACTGTCCTTTCCAAAAAAGGACGGTTGGTAACCCTATCTATAGCCCCGACCATGGCAATATAGTTAGAGTCCACTGTAATTAGATTGATGCATATGGAATTCCTGATTCTGTCATTCCAATCTTACCTTCGAATGATTTCACACAGTTCGTGTGCAGAATTAGCAATTATCGTTTCGATTCTTAACCTCTTGCTCTGGTGATTCATAATATTTATCATGCGAACCATTTTATTCAGTATGATGGATGACCACGGATCATCGTGCAGCTTACAGTACGTATTATTATACGTATATACGATATATGTTACATCTGTTAATATTCCCCTCTCTCGTATTTTCTGTAAGACTGTCTTAATTTTCGCAAGAAAAATCACCTGTCCTTCTTACGTATATTGACTTTGGCGTTTCTGACAGATATATATGTATAGCACTGAGTTGTATTGGTTCTAGGGTTCTGTATTAATTATAAAATCCCTAATCCGATTAACACACTTTCAGCCGGCAATTTTGCGCGTAGATTACTGCCTGCAGCCGGTGAAATTTTGCGTTTCAGAAATAGATGCACCCGTCTACAGAAATGGATGTAAGTGGTAAAAAAAAAGTTTGTATATACTTATTTGAAACTTCGAATTAATTGGATCATTTGGCATAGTATTTACGTGAGATTTAACAAGAAATGGCTGTAAATTTGGTGCATAATCAATTTTCGTCAGTACGTATGCAAATTCGGACTATTTATTTTTAGACAACTGGCTGATAGTGTGTTAAATTTTTCTGCTCGGTGTTTCCAAAGAACCCCAAAGACAGAAAGAAGGATATTTCATGTGCAATAATCGAATATTTATAGGAGTAGGTACAGATCAGCATTTAAGAAAAACATTTACATTAGACATAGTTATTGTTGCTTGTAATTCAAGCTAATACAGTTTATTAAACATCACCGATTTTATATTCTCTCTTAAGAGAAAGAAAGTTACCGTGCATATCTTGACCTATTCTGGGGTGGCTGTTTTCGGGAAATGAGTTTTCGCAAACAACTTTGCATATCATCATAAAGATTCTTTATTTTTGTTAAGAGTAGTTAAAAGCTTTTCAACGGTAAAGCAAACGCAGGACGTCGTTTACTGCTTGCGCGAATAGATCGTTGTTTTAGATAGTTTTCGAAAAATCATCATTATACTCGTGCTCTCACAGAAATCGTGTACACATATGTACGTATGGATCGTTTAGATAAATTGCTTCACGTTCGATAGAACTTATTCTCGTCATTCTGATAAATGTAAAATTTGTGATAAAAATGGTACTCTTCTATTAGACAAATTTCTTCTCGGAAGTAGAATGCTTTGTAGAAGCATAAAATTTTCCATTGTGAAACATGTATAACTAGAATGGACTGATAACTATTAGCACTGAACAATTTCGGAAACTGCAACAATCAGAGAAAGATTGATAACATAAGTGTTATACTGTTCAGATATACACTACTTCACGGTTACGTTCAATTTGGCTAACTTAATCCAGTCTAAACTAATGATAAATTCATCTGTTTTTATCTAGACTCAGTCTAAACCTAACCAGATTCAACCTACATGTCATAACGTCGGGATAACACCTGGGCTGGGCCTGACTCAAACCTCAATCAGGTTTCAGTTAGGGATGCTACACACCTTATCAGTCTTCCTACCTAGGGTCTTGATAGAATTAGAATATGATGTAGACCACGTGAAAATAAGGAACGAAAGTTAAGTCATCATTTATGTTCGTTTTGAATTGATTTAAAAAGTACGAGACATCGATATTGATGTTTTTTGCACATTTTTGAAAACACAGAGTGTACAAATTAATTTTTATTTCCGAAACTATTGGTCGACTGACATTCCTTTTTATGTTACTTTAATCGCCAAGAATTGAATTCCTCGAATATATTTTTCTTTAGTCTTGAAATTTATGTTTACGATGTACATATTGTAAACAACCTTCTTAATTCGCAAATTTCAAGCCTTGTCCCTCTAATTTCACATGGATTATATGTATACAAGGTGTTTCAGGTGGCCAAGACTATTCTATTGCCGGTGTATCCATCTCAAGTTTAATTATCTCGAAACGAAGTTTTATTCTCTTATTTATCGACTTATTTTTTCTTATGGAATCATTTCCTGCCCGGTTGTGCGACCTGACCTGTGGCAACCCATGTATAGTACTGAAAATTTATAAAAATCTCAGAAGTCGAAACCAAAAAGTGGAATTACTTTGATATGATCTTCTGTACTTACAAAAACTTAATACATTCCAAATCGTTGATTAATACATATTTTTATAATCTGTACTTAGGTACTGTTACTATTATACCTTCTTATATTTACGCTTCGAAATAATCGGAACTTTCACGAATTTTCAAATTGTATTATACAATTTAATTCAGTATACATTCAATGTCAGTAGTTCTGGTGTTAAAGCAAATTTTATAAGTTTTATCCATTTTTTTAACGGTAGATATATCATACGTCAACAACCATCGATACGAATTATCGAATAGCAAACGTACTGCTAAGAGCTGCTATAATTTGTGTTCCATTTAGACTGCTTCGTATGAATCTATGTTGGGCCCTTAATGTGTTCAGTTAACCTAACTGGATTCCATTTTAAAAAGTTATGTTTTTACCTACTTCACATCTGAGTATGTACTTGAACTCGTACACAAACAAGATAACATCATCTTAGAGTAATTGTTTTTGGACAGTCCAACATTTATTGAATCAATTTTCGTCTCTAACAATAAGTTTTACAGTTTCACGAATAATCGTGTGCTTATACTTACTCGTCTAACATAATCATCCATGATCTGTCGAAGGATCTATTCATCGATACCTCACTTATTGCTAGAAAATAGTTACTGTAACCTCAAGGAACCGTATCTCATGCATCTTCAACTCGTTACCATTTCTTAAAAACAGGCGTACAAATATATACATTATCGTAGGCAATATACAGGATGTCCTACGCAATACCAACTGGGACAAGGTATATCTTTCTAACGGTAAGAGATAGAAAAAAGTTTCATTGGGCAAATTTAAACGGCTACGTGCTGTGCGCCCCATGGCACATGTACCTGCTCCGGAAGTGGAGGCCTTTCGAAGATTTCAAGGTGACCTCTATTTTTTAGAACGGAACTACAGTAGACTTTATCTTTAATCCCACTGAAAATAATGCCACATGAGTCACTTCCCCTTCACACGTACTTTCGCGCACACAAATTCGCTCTCCCACCATATTGCGTACGCCGGCGCACCATCACGATCCAGCTTTTGCGCAAGCGCCGGGGTGCAGACAATATGGGACAGAACTTAGCATGGAGGGGGCTCGAAATTTAATGCCATTTTACTCTCCTACAGCCCCGAAAGTGGCATTAAATTTAGAGTCTACTGTATATATTTTTATATACATCAATTGATGGGTTGTTTTATTCTGTGTACAAAAGCATTAACATACTTATGTCGAAAAACAATTAATTTAGAAGATACTCTAACTGCAATTTTACAATATTTTATTGGAACTTACGCTTAAACGTTTCTTTCGTATGTCTACTCGAGTATACTAACTACATTACGCTTGTAAGTATCGGTTAGTCTGATATTTCAAAATGTTACGGTTAAATGACATGATTTCATGCCGCTTAAATAAATGAATCAAACCGATCATCCAAACCAATCATTTGTCGACACACGTACCTCAATACTTTTTTATAGAGAATAAAAAAATACACCAGTTAATGTATATCAAGATATATAGTTCTATTTAAAAAAACAACCTTGAAATTTCGGAAACGCCACCACTTCCGGGGCAGCACATACCCCACGTGATGCATTACACGAAACCATTTAAATCTTCCTGAAAAAAATTTTCTTCTACTTCCTACCGTTTTACAGATACAGCTTATCCCAGTTGCGTGGAACACCCTGTAGATCGATCAGTCATTATACAGCACTAGTCAAAGTCCTCGTACATTAATGTCCGAGCGCTGGAAGTTCCTTTCCTCTGAAAGTGAACGGTCTCACTTCCGTATCGTTTGGTCATCGCTGTTAGTTCACAATCGTTAATAGTGTAACGCTTGTTTGTTACAACTAGACTGCGGGTATTTATGTAAATTCATACTTTTAGAGGCAAAGTTCTAATAATAGACATTCATGAGAAACTTATTTTCTTTATTTAGAGTTTTATTAGACTTCAATGAAGCTGATAACTTTATGAAATTTCATTGCAGTACTTATCCCAGATAGCACGTGACGCCCAATGACAGCTTCAAGACAACTTAAAGGCGCCTTAGACCTAAAATAGCCGTAAAATGGGCGTTTTCAAGGCGTCATGTGCTATCTGGGATTTCCTTCATTATTTTGTATAAGTATAAATACATAAAATCTGCAGTCTAGTTACAATGTATGGTTAAATTATTAATAGTTTAACGAGATTCGATCTCATTATTTGATATGATCAAGGGAAATTGACCACGGATGCAGGAAGTTGAAATTGAATAAAAAATTAATGGGATTTGAGCTAGACAAGGTTTTAGTTCAGTCTGGGTGCAACTATTGAGCAAGGTTGAAAATATTGAGTAAATTCAAGTATTTAACCTGAATTTAACCCTCCAATTTATGGCGAGTGGTTAGGTTTGGATTAGGTCCGAATTTTGTCTATGATAACTATAAAAGTATCACATAATTGGTGAGATATTTGGTATACCAAAATACACATCTAATCTGGCCTAACTCTAAATAATTCCAAACTTAATTTGCACCAGACCTAGAAATACAATCCCTATGTTGAAGTAAATGAAACTGTAACGTCGAGTTTACAAAATGTTTAAGTTTGGTTTAAGGTAGGCTAGGTTTAAGTTGGATATTAAGTCATGTCTGGGTTAGATAAATTACATCTAGAATAAACTTAAAGGTATCGTATGGTTAGGAGATATTACGTACTGTAAACAATGAATTTCGACCTAACTTTTAAACGTTTAGATTCGAGGTAGGTCTGGATTAAAACTTTTCAGAAACCTCTAACATTCTGTAAACAATTTCGGTTTCCCCTCTTGACCCACGTACAGGATGAGGAAAGACTCGTGGTAAAACCTGGCAGAGGATGAGTATTCTTTTAAAAAAAAAAATAAGTCAAAAGTCTGTAATGAAATTTTTATAAACAAGGCTGTAATTTCGATAAAAACGACTGAAAATTTGTTGGGTTATGACATAGGATTGAGGTAATGTGTTTGTTCATTACATATCGTTTCTACTTATTGTAAATAGATAAATTTTCAAATTCGTTTTCCTCAGAAACAAAATCTCGAATGAATACAATTTATTCTGCATTTCCAACATATGTTCCCAACTAAATTTTTTATCGTACTACACCCCTCTAATTGAATTTACCTTCATCCTGTACGAGGTAATGATTAGTGACATTGAAAATGTTGTTTACAGTAGGTCTTTGTTCAGGTCTCCTCCGAAACCAATAATATTGTTTAACACGTTGAGTGCCACGTGAGTCATCGGTGACTGACACTGAACTTTTCGTTCAGGCCGCGACAGTCGCCAGTGACTGACAGTGTAAAATATGATATAAGACTAAAAAATTTACATTGTTTTTAGTTACCTAACATTTTTATTTAATACGGAATTGTATTATTAAAAATACAAAGCTTCGCATTGCTGTACCACGATACCCGCGCTTCTAAGCAGCGCGCGTGGCCTGACGGCGATTTTCTTATAAAATCGCGTGGCACTCAACGTGTTAAGCTATTTCAGTTTCACCTTTCTGCCCAAACGTAACATAAAGATTAGTGAAATTTAGATATATTTAAAAGCTGCAACGTCTGGACGTTAAGCTGAATGTTACGAAAGGTTATGAATCATTTAGACTACGTTGTTGACTCATTAAGTCAAATCTGTTAATAAGTTCGAAAACAATTAGATTTTTTTCTATTGTTAGATAAGTGTAAATTTTATCGTTTATTGCGTCTACACGAGATGTACATATGTATAGTATTGTTCCTGTGTGTATGATGCACTACAGAATCTGATTCTGCCTTACGAGTCTTCAGACAACGTATAAATGTCTCTATTCCCAAATAGCACATGACGTCTTAAAAACGGCTTAAAGGCGTCTCAGACCTAAACTAGACGTAAAATGAGCGTCTTCATGTGCTATCTGGGTTAATTATTAATTTATAGTATTAAAATACGATTATCTACATTTTGTAAGTGGTATGCTATTCGTAATTAATTTTAATTGTGAAACAATGAATGCCTTTATATTGACATAAATTCGTTATCCTTGGCAATTGTTGCTATGTAGTTTAGAAAGTTCTTCGTCGGCGAAGAAAATATTTCGCGTACGATATCTCCGATAGACGCAACAAACGGACAGAATACATGCATACAGAGGGTGATAAAAGTAACCTCGTTAAGTAGAGAAGAGATTTCTAGCGCACGGACCTCGTCTGTCGCAAACATTTTAAATGTGGCCAATCGTTCGTGTGTTGGCGCCCGCACAGTAAACTCTTGTCCAATTCTTAGGTAGGTCGGCGGTTCGCCCTTCTCAATAGACCGGCGAACGTTGACGATAGATCTATCTGTCTATCACTTTAATCTTCTACGTCTAATAACTACTGTAACTAAAGCAACTTCACCTAAGTACCGAATTCTGTCGATGGTAAACACAATTGGTCTTTCCCTTTGAAAAATTGAAATGTTATTAATCGGCGCTATCGTAGGCAAGGTATGGGGTTGATCTAAAATATCGAAATTTGTATTTTTCTATAGCAACATGCAATATGTTGAATCTATAGTTACTAAAATTGGTAGAAAACTGTTTAAAATTTTAACATACTAACCATCAGAGTGTTCAATACCTACTAGCATCTCCATCCCGACGAATGTTATAAGATATCTTATAAAAGCAAGCTATCAAAGTTTCGGTGGCTCCCCTTGGTTGAAAAGCGAGGGGGGGGGGGGTGGCAGTAATACAGCACCACAAAATACATATGTAAATCTCCAAAAATTGAAATTTATTTTAAATAAAATTAAATAACATTTAATCATAACGAAATGGAAGCTTCAGAACGGGGCACCCCTAGAACGTGGGGCCCGGGGCTACAGGCTACAGGCCCCCCTAGACCTCCCCTTGATCCAGCACTGAAGCAAGCATGTGTATACTTATAGGTATACCTTTTTACAAAAATTGTAATACATATCACACCTATCTCTTTTGATAAGTTTAGTATCAGCTGAAGAATTGCTGCAATATTTAAGGTTTTAAAAATCCTCTGAAACACTTGTATTTTGATGACTTTACATGTATGAACCAAGTATAAAAAAGTGATTCTTTTAACACTTTTCATACGCTCTTTTTTGTTGGGAGTACGTTAAAAAAATTCATTGTGCCGGCTTTTTGGAATTCTATACAACTGCATATATCCAAGACAATTTTTTTTCTATTTAATAAAATATCTTTGCAATATTAAGAAACATATCATTACAAAAAAGTTATGCAACATTTCTTAATTACTTAACTAGGTTTATATAGCCGGTAACTTGCGGAGAATTTTTTAATTTGTTGTCATTTTGAAAAAATGAATTCGAACAAAATTACGATTAAATCTATTAAATTGGAAATTAGATCTACCCTATACCTCGTCTGTACTTGTAATTTTTAATTGATTATATACACGCATATACATAAAACGCATCTGTTGACATTATTCATATTTTACAAAGTTGCTCGTTAGCTTTGTTATATACAATTACCACTGTACAGACACCTGTAGAAACAATATCACGGAGGTTGGGAATGTTCTCCCTCGCGCAAGAGTAGTAGAAGAGTTTCACCTATTATACATCACCGTTACGCGATGGGTTTATTGAGTATTTAATTAAACGAAAACGTTTGATATTCAGAGTCTAAGACAAGCTGCTTTACCCTACAATAGAGTGAATCTTTAAATAACGCGGGGAATTTCGCTGGTTCCTTGTATTGTTATCTAATAAAGTTATATGTAAGTATATAGCCATGCATGCATAATATCAGATAGCGTTTACGTGTGTAAGGGTATCTGTATGTACGATATATGAAAGTGTTCTGTATTAGTCTTAAGATGCAAATACCTATTACATTTAAGATAAAATAGAAGTACTTATACATATCGCAGAATTATTGCGATTGCACCTCTGCGGCCAAGAATATCACGCATATCAGGCGAAAGCCATCATAGCGATGATCTCATCGAATAGGACGTGTCCTCATAAGACAGAATTGCTTATAAAATAAAGGTGACTGAACTAAAATAGAGTGTATTGAAAAGTTCAGTTGAACTGTAATTTCCAAATATTATACTGCACGAAGACTACTGTTATTATAGTTAAAATATGCATCATTAAATGTGATAACAATTATTTATGATCTTGACATCGCGACAAAAGATACTGTTCATTGAATAGTCGTCTTCGTATACAAATACCCAACGGTTATTAAACTTGTAAGCACATATCACTTTCTGTTTATACGGAAAGTATACACGGCATACCTCTGTAATTAAATAATTGAAAGTATGTTGTATCATGTGTACGTTTCCTTGTGCATAAATAAACACTACTGTGACACCTCCTTTTCTTTCTATTTTATTCTATTTAAAATACAATGCTCATTCCACTGACTCAGTACATTATGTGACTAAAAAACAAACAATAATACACTTTAAATAGTAGAAAAATAATTTAAGGTACATCTGTAAATGTATTGTGCATACCTTCATCTGAAATTGGAATGTTTCACTAAACAATGTCTTATTTTTATCTTAATACTGAATAAATAATTTTGTTTAAAGAAATGAATACTAATTCTAGTATAATTTACATGATTCTACATATTTAGGAATTAATAAGTCATCGAAGTAACAAAGCTTTAAGAAATAATTTTTAAATATGCAACAGAATTTGTTGATTTTAAATTTTTTCGATATAAAACGAAACATTGATATATTTAACCTGATGCAGGTGATAACAACGTTACAAGATTCTCCGTTCTTCCAAACCGAAAGATTGTCCGACTAAATTGGATACATTATGCTTGATGACGTGTACCGTTAAGTCAGCATTAACATCCTCATATGCGAGGGCAAATGGTAATGTGAGTAAGGCATGAGCGGTTAATCTTTTCTTTGAATCGTGTTGCAAACACTTTTTCACTAAATCAACTCCTTCAACGGACAAATTTTTTGGTAACGCTGGAGTCTCACCCATTCCCACCTAGAAAAATATACATATAAACAATAAATAAAATCGATAGATATACAGTGTTGTCCCAGTAAAGTATTACAAGTTTCAGTCTTGGAAACTCTAAAGAATATAACGTGTTTTCTTATCCTGCAAAATTTGTTGGTCTTATTCATACGACAAAGTACTACTTATTCTATAATAATAATAAAAAGCCTGTGTAGACAACATGACCCTTATACAATGAACTTTCAGTAATTAATTTACAAAAACCTTTCATAACATAATCAGCGAAAAATAAAGTTAACAAGTGGGAAAGCTTTGATTTTCCCCAATTTTATTTCTTTTAAATAAGAATTTAAAAATTATGACATTGTAGTTGTTACACATAAGTGACTACACTATACATAATGGTCACTTTATTGTATAATAATTATTACGTCTGCATAATATTATTATAAATTTGCTAGAAACTTTTAACACTTTATTTGGATTATCCTACTAGACCTGGAAAATACTACATAATATAGTTTAATTACTCTAAGATACCTTAAACATTATTTGATAATTAGAGTCATAATCTGACCAAGGTCTTCGTCCACTAGCCATTTCTATCACGCAACAACCAACTGACCAAATATCAGCTGCTCTACCATGACCACCAGTTTCTGTTTTCATGAATACTTCCGGCGCCATGTAAGCTGTATGTAATAATATTAAATTAATTTTAAAAGTATACGATGATAAGTAGTAATAAAAAAATATCTTACTGACCCTGAGTGCCTACAAAACCTTGTAATTCACCAGGCATTGTGGTGTGTGCCTTAATCTGCACAGCGCTACCAAAATCTCCAAGTTTCAAACAATTACCCTCATCCGTTAGGAAAATGTTTGCAGCTGTGTTTAAACAGTATATATATTTTTTGATACAATTGTGTGTGAATTTATTAATGTTTTACAATAAAACTCACTTTTAATATCGCGATGTACTATTCCGTTGGAATGGAGAACTGATACGGCTGAAACAAGCTGATGAGTATATTTTCTAACTAGTGATTCTGGTAAGCCAGTTCCACTGCCCGCTATTAAACTTTCCAACGTTCCTTCAGCGCAGAATTCCATAAAAATTAACATTTCCTCCTGTAAAAGGGCATATTTTTGCAATTGATCTTTAAAACAGTCATGTCATGCTTCTACACGTATACACCTACTCGATGAATTTCTAGGCCATAATATCGAACTAAATATTTATGCTGAATTCCTTCAAATATTTGTAGTTCTTCGGCAACTCGCCTAATAGCCCTGTGATCTCCTGGTTGTAACTGAACTTCCTTCATGGCTAGTAGATCGCCGGTTTGATTATTGACTACAGTGTACACTTTGCCAAATCTTCCTTGGCCTAAAATGATTGATTTATGTCCATTTAAATAATAATTTCATTCAAATAAGTCTTTCGAGACGTGACGAAAATTATGAGATTCATATTTTTAAAAATTTGTTTATAAATGTTAGTGTCATTCAAGTTTTTTACATTAAAATCGAATTTGCAGTGACAAAACTTATTACATGTTAAATATAATTTCCGAATAAACTCTGAAGTCTGTTTTTTCTGATTTCGTTGGTATTGCTGATTAATTACCTTACTTTTAACTATGATAGTCCACAAAAAGATAGAAAACAAAAAACTGCCGGCACTAGCTAGTGTGAAGCATTTAGTGGAAGCCGGATATAACCGGCGCTAGTCGCGAAAGGGTTAACACATTCAAAACCGACATATTATTACAAGACCATCGCTAACAGCACGTAAAGAAAGCAAAATATTTAACTGGAATGACAGGATGGTTACCAGAGGATCACACAACCCCGAATTCTTACAATTACAAAGAATTATATAATGCATTACATAACCACCCTCCAAGGATTCTGACAATAATACACCTGAATATTCAAAGTATAGCAACTACATTATTAGTACACCAAAAATATACCTATTTTAATGCCTCTTTGCCAAGTAAAAGTGACTCTTCTCGCTTTAATACGAACTCTATCGACAGATTTCCTATCTGTTACTTGTCCAATAAGTTCACGACTCTTTAGCCGTTCATCAATTTCGGATTCTACTTTCTCTATAGAACGAACGACTCTTTCTTGTCTAGATACACTACGATCTGATGTATTTAAAATTACAGATAGGTTTCCGTCGACTGCATTAGGCGAGGGTGACTTCTTAGGGTTTAACGTGATGTCGGGAGATTTAAGAACATCTTTAGGCTTTTGAGAATGACTGAAACTTGCTGTCCTACTCCTACTGTGGCAAGGCGACGAAGCTCTCGAGCGAGACAGTTTTTTTAAATCTGAAATCAAATACAGAATTTGCTGTTATAGCACAAAGACGATCTAACGATAGCACAAACAGAGACATTTACTTTCTGTTTCTACATTCGCTGCAACAGTATTGGCACTTCCAACAACATGGGATATACAACGATCCATACATGTTTTTAATTCTTCAAATTCCTCATCAGTCAGGTGTTTGGTATTATGTGGTTCACACACTGTAATTAAAAACTCTAAACCTTGATTCGCCCACCTGGGCCTCAGACCTCTCCCACGTTCACATCTAGTTCTAACAAATTCCATCCACAAAAGAGCAAAAGAGACTATTCCCCGTGCTAGTACCGCGTTTTCTCCTAGGGTAAATAACTTGCAGGTTTCTTTGTAGTAATCAAAACCCATTCGATAGGCCTGATGAAGTATTTCTCTTATTCTTGATCGCATAGCACATCGATCATACTCAGAGTTCGGTTCCTCCGTACATTCAAGGTCGTGTTGAAAATTTTCAATAACATTCGTTATCTGGTATCGGAGATCCATAACAGTTTCCTGCAATTGAACCTTTTTGTACATGACCAAACATTAATTTATTTTAATGATTTACCTTTAAAGCTGTTAAAGCTTCTTCTAACTTTTTGTTGAAGACAGGCCAATTTTCAATGTCACGCTGTAGGCAACTGGCCAAGCTAACACTCTTTACGGCCTTCTCCCGAGCTTCTACGTACATCCCTTGCCATTCGCGCCCCACAAACATTAGTTGAAATCTAAATCAGTAGTCAGTATAAAATACTTGTTTGTACAGTAATTCACAGAGAAATTAATTATACTTTCATACTTGTTTGACCAATCGTCGTCGCTCCATTCCTCTGTACTTTCTTTAATCTCTCTAGGTCTCTCATTAAGGAACTCTTTAACTTGTTCGATCATTGTACTTGCAATTTCACTATAAATAAGAGCATCAGATATATCGTAATTTGTTACTTGATGAATTGTACTATTATAGAGTTACATAATATGTACAGTTATTAAAAACAGGAAGTCATAAAATGACAAAATACAAAATTATAAAATATTTAAGTATCCAATTATGTGATTGTAAAAACAGAGATTATGAAAAACCCTAATAACCAGTTGTGTATCAGTTGTGTACAAGTAAGGCACATTGGCAGCAAGTCTTGCAATATAAAAATTCAAATAAAAGTGTAACAAATTTAATATAATGCAATAAATAAAAGAAACAAAATTAGAAAAAAAAAATAATAAAAATTATAAACTGAATCTATAAATGTATACGTTATAAATTAATAAATAAATAACGCTAAGGGAAAATTGCATTGTATTATTATGTATATGTTATATATTTATTAGAAACTTTTAAACATTTATCTTTATACATTTAGGAAATTGTGCATTAAAAACAAACATAATGGATTTAACTTTGGTTTATTATAAACCTTTTATAGAAAATATATATTTCTAAATTCTTGGTATAAAAGTACAGAAGTACATTTATCCTAAAACACACCGTTTCCGAGACTTTATCCATCCTATTACTTTCCCTGATAACCAGTTGTATGTAAGTTTCGAGTAAATTGCCAGTAAATCATGACAAAATTTCTAAAAAAAAACCATAGCCATCTGTTTTCGCATTTGACTTAAATTTTGCAGGCAACGCCTGCTCACAAAATAGTAAAGCAAATTAGCAGCAAATTAGCAGCATATCTTGCAACACAACTCAGGCTAACTAACCCAGATCAATTTATAATCAAGGCTATACTGCAAGACTTGTTGATAAATTGCTGCCAATCTCCGTACAAGTTGTCGATAGCAGATCTTGCATCAAACAGGTAGTCATATTGAGTACATAACATTATAACAGGCATTGGACAAAATTTAGTTTTGCAGGATTGGCTGACTGGATTTATTACGAACATGTTCGACATGATACCAGCGATTGAAGATAGTTGTGATATCGATTTCGGTTTTTGAAACTGTTACGAGAACCGAAATAATGTTACAACTGTTCCATAACAGTTATAGAACCTTCTGTTATCCATAACAAAACCGTTAAGTATATCCATGTATAACGGTTCTGACCTATATCGGATTCCGATATTGTATCAGTTCTATAACTGTTATTTTTCGGTTCTATATCGGTTCCAAAACGGTTCTGGAATCGATACTCGTATGGACTTTGTAGTTACTGAAAACTATAAACATTACTGTTGCGGATTACGTACAAGTTTACAAAAAACACAAAGTTTACATATTATAATATTTTTTGTACCCTACAATTAGTCTCTGTACTATACCGTACTGTATTATGCAATCTAGCGGACTTGGTCTTGACACCACGATCGTATTCAGATATAAGTCCGTATATGTGTATAACCGTAGTTTGTGTCGAATTACTTTAATAACATGTCTACACTTCGTTCAACAAGTCGAGTCGCCAGATGTAAACCATGCACATGGCGGCATTTAGAAGGGGGCAGCACGTGATTTCTAAATGTTGTGTTTACATCTGGTGTTTCGATTCTTTAAATGGAGTATAATCATTAGGATTACAATAGAATAAAGTATGTGTCAGCCAAACCCTCATCTCATTTGATTATTCTCAAATCCCTGGCATACCGACTGAGTCGGCAATTCTTTCCCAAACTACCGGCGACGCTTATCACAATTTTAAAAGAGTAGTGCCAACAACTCCCGAATCCAATAAACGTAAAGACGTCGGAATAAATACAGAAGAATTATAGTGTTTACAAACACAGAAAAATAACACTTACCAAAACTTTACTCCAGCAATTTTATAACCATCCAGTATATTCCCAGCAATTGATTTCACAAATATCCATTCGTCCATTATTAGATTCTTATGAAAACTATCGTGTTGCACCATGTCCACCCACTGCTGCAGATAATCGAGATACACTTCAAAAACAGCCTTTAAACTTTCATCAAAATCTTTCACATCCTCTTGGAACAGATATTCGCAGCTATTATTCTCAGTACCCACTGCTGCGCTTGAATGTGCATCAAATCTGTCACGATGAATGCATGCAATTCTAAGGCCTTCTCTAAGTTCACGCATAAGTTGTCTAACAGACAATGGACTAGGTTGCTCAGGTTTTTGTTCCAGTCTCATTCTGAGGAATTCATGAACAACGTCCAAAGGTACCCGCGACAGAAATACAAAGGCGGCTCTAAAAAGAAATATATCAGTGCTTAATACCAAAATATAAGAGTGGCAGATACAGGCGATACATTACTCTATTTTTCTACCTATACGATGGAAGATTCAACTCTCTCGCCTCGGGACTCCATACGCCGTATCTACGCAACTGCTTATCACCTTCATATTCTTCGTTTAAATTACTCGATTCACTTGAATCACCTTTTTCTAACGTCAGTCTTGCTTTTCTCAAAATAGAAGTGTGTAATCTCTCGAGGAAGTTCAAACTCTTTCCGAGGCCTCTAGTTTTTAGTACATCTTCAATATACTTTCTGCGTAGAAAAATATATTATTAGAAAATTAACGATTTTCACATTTAAATTTCAAATTAACAGTTAAGTTAAAGAAGACACAAATGTTGTGAGTCTAATATCCCAAATTCTACCTGTAAGCCTGACGATCAAATTCAACTAAATAGAAGTCAAGTCTGTCGACTTTTTCGTCCTCAGTATGTGTGAAAGAGGTGTCGGGAGTGGAAGGCCACGATTGTCCTATAGATAATCCAACTGACGAATTGTTACTATTGTTACTATCTGAAGGACTGGAACTCTCTTCTTGCTGATTGGATACCTCAAACCTGACCAAAGTAGATTTTTGCTCTGAAGAATCAACTGTGTCTAATGATCTTTAACTACAATAGTAAATACAAAACATATCTAGTTTTCTATTAATATATGAAAATGAATGTAAGTCCCTTTGTGTAACAATTTTATTGTATACCTGATTCCAGAATCGCCAGGGTCATCGTGCTTTTTCTTGGTATGTAACATCATTAATAATTTTCCCAATATTTGTAATTTAAGTCGATGGTGTTTAGTCATATTGTACCAAAGACACATTGCCTTCACTCTTCCAGTGAATTCAGGACTTTTGTATAATGGATAATGTGCAGCTAAAGCTTGGGAAGACGGATAAAGAGCTTCAGCTGCCTCTAGTCTGGCCAATAAATCTTCTACTTGTTGTAAAGCTTCTCCTTGTGCTCGTGCACAAGCCCTGCAATACATCGAAAGACATCCTGGACAGACACCTAATTCTATGCTTGGACTGGACCCAGAATTTGTTACTCGATCCTGACACGTATCGCTGACGTTGGTCCAAGGTCCGCTGTTGTCTTTTATATTAGCAATGGGATCATATCTAGACAAAAAAAAACGAAAAAATAAATAACTGTTATCAAAACGATTTCATATTTAAACTGTTGTCAACATCTAGACTTTCTGTAAATGCAAACTGTAAAATTTAAAAACATGAAATTCTGAAAATATATGGTAAGAAATTATGAAAATAATAAGTAGACTGTAGACATTTATACAGATATCCATTTTTATATACTATGTTACTTGAAGATATGGATAAATGGGAAGATGAAAAGATGGGATGAAATAGGAGAAAGATGGTTTGAGGAGCAGGGAAACGAGTGAAGGAGGAAAGGGGGAGGGGAGAGGAGGTAAGAAAGAGGGAAAATGCAGAAAGGAAAAGTCTATGTAAAATCACTTTCTGGAATGTAGCGGGGTTAACAAATAAGGACAGTGAATTTTGGAAGGCCTTGGAGGAATGGGATGTGTTTGTAATGAGTGAAACGTGAGTTGAGAAGAAGTAGTAGGGATGGGTTAGTTCAAGGCTACCAAAAGGATATATATGTGAGACGCAATGGGCCAGGAGGAAACATAAAAAAGGAAGGGCGATAGGGGGGATGATAATGGGGGTGAGAGAAGAATTAGAAGCAGAAGAGGGAGAGGAAGAGAAAAGGGAAGGGGTAATGATGAAAAAAGTAAAGATCGGGGGAACACAGTGGTGGAGGATAATTGGAGTCTATGTAAACAAGGACATAGATAGGAAATTAGAGGAATTGAAGGAGTGGATAGAAGATAGAGAAAGAGGAGTAAGAGTGATTGTAGGGGGGATCTGAATACAGGGACAGGAAGGGAAGGAGGAGAAATATGGGAGGATAAGGAGGAAGGGGAAGAAAGGGGACTAGGAAGTAGGAAATCGAAAGATAATAAAGTTAATGCAGAAGGAAAGAAACTGTGCGGATATTTAGAGGAACAGGGGTGGGGAATACTAAATGGGAATGTGAAGGCAGACGAGGAAGGGGAGTGGACGTATACGGGTGGGAAGGGAAACTCGGTGATAGACTATATTATAGGGAATGAAGAAACAAGAGAGAAGGTGGAGAAAATGAAAGTGGAGGAAAGAGGAGAATCAGATCACCATCCGATAATGGTATGGGTGAGTGGGGGAGGGATTGGAGGAGAAAGAAGGAGAAAAAAGTTCGGGGAGAAGAGAGGAGAGAGGAAATTGGACAGAAGAGGGAAGAAAGGAATTTATAAAAAATTTTGGGAAGGGAGAGAAGAAGGAGAGAAGTATGGACGAAGATTGGAGTTACCTGAAAGGGAAAATCAAAGAGGCAATAGGAAAAACAAGAAAGAGAGGGGAGAAAGAAGAGGAGAAAAAGGGATGGTGGGATGAAGAGTGTAGAGAGGAGAAAATTAAGGTGAGGAAAGAGTTGAGAAGATGGAGAGAAGAAGGAGGGGAAGGAGAAAAGTATAGGAAGATGAGAAAGGAATATAGAATACTCTGCGAAGGAAAGAAGAAAAAAGAAGTAGAGAAATGGGAGAAGGAGGTGCAGGGAGTAAGAACCGAAAAGGATGTGTGGAAGATAGTAAATCGAGAGAGAAAAAGAAGAAGAAGGGTTAATGAGAAGATAAAAATAGAACATTGGGATGAGTATTTTAGGGGACTGTTAGGAGGAGTGGAATGGAAGGTGAGAAAGGGAAGGGAAAGGAGAATGAAGGAGGAAGGACAAGAAGAGATAAGAAAAGAGGAAATAAGAAGGGTGGTAAGAAGTTTGAAAGACGGAAAGGTGGCGGGGGGGAGACGGCATCCCGAATGAAGTGTGGAAATATGGAGGGGTAGAGGTAGAAGAATGGTTGTGGAAAGTGTGCAATGGTGTATGGAAAGGAAAAGGATGGCCGCACGAATGGAGGGAGGGTATAGTGATACCAGTAATAAAGAAGGGGGAGGGAAGCAAAGTAGAGAAATACAGGGGGATAACGCTAACACAGACGGCGTACAAAGTATACGCATCTGTGTTAGCAGAGAGGCTGAGGGAGGAGGTAGAAGCAAAGAATCTACTGCCACCGAGTCCAACGGGTTTCAGAAAAGGGATAGGGTGTATGGATAACATCTATGTCCTAAACTATTTAATAAATAGGCAAGTGGGGAGGAGGAAGAGAAGAATGGTTGTGTTATTGGTAGACTTGAAGGCGGCGTTTGAGTCGGTGGACAGAAAGGTGTTGCTGAAGGCAATGAAGAAGAGAGGAGTGAGAGAGGGTTTGATGGAGAGAGCGGAGGAGATACTGAAGGAAACTGTGAGTAGGGTGAGAGTGGGGGAGAATGAAGGAAAAAGATTTTGGACGGCGAAAGGTGTTAGGCAAGGATGCCCACTCAGCCCAAGCCTTTTCATCTTATTGCTGGCTGATCTGGATGACGAACTGGAGAGAGGAGGTTAGATAAAAAAAATACACACTGGCATACGCAGATGATATTGCGATGGTTGCAGAAGATGAGGAGGGGATGAAAGGAATGATGGGGAAACTGGAGAAATACCTGGAGAAGGGGTTACAGCTAAACACGAAGAAAACGAAGATTATGAGATGTAGGAGGGGTGGGGGGAGATGGAAGAAGGTATCGTGGAGGTGGAGAGAAAAGGAGGTGGAGGAAGTAAAGAAATTTAAATATCTGGGATATACCTTAATGAGGAATGGGGGACAAGAGGCACACATAGAGGAAAGGGTGAAGAAGGGGGCAGCGGTGATGGGACAGGTGTGGGGCATAGAAAAAAGGAGGTTCGGGAAAGATTGGGGAAGAAGGATATAGTTATTTGATAAAATGGTATGGGCAACAGTTAACTATGGAGTGGAGGTGTGGGGATGGAAGGAGAGGGTAAAAATAGAGAGGCTGCAAGAAAGATTCCTAAAGTGGGTACTAGGGGTAGAAAGGAGTACACCGGGGTATATAATAAGAGAAGAAATGCAAAGAGCAAAACTAAAAGGGAAGGCAGGAATGAGAGCATGGGGATATGAAAGGAAATTAGAGAAGGGACAAGGAGGAGAGCTGGCAAGGAGGTGTTGGGAGGAAATAAAAGGGTGGGCGAGGAAAGGGGAAGTATTAGAGTGACGGGAAGAGGAAAGAAGGGAGTATTACGAGGAAAGGGGATGGTCAGTGGAGGAGATAGAAGGAATGAGAGAAGGAGGAGAGCCACGTGCAGAGGAAATGGTGAATAGAGAGAGAAGATTACAAGAGGATAGGTGGAAAAATATAGAAAGTTCAAAGTACAATAAATGGTACAAAATGGTTAAAGGAAGAGGGATTCCTGGGTATCTGATGAAAGGGTGGGGAGAAAGTAGGTGGCAAAGGGTGGCCAGATTTAGGTTAGGCAATGAGATGAGGGAAAATAGGTATTGGATGGAAGAGGAAAAAAGAAGGTGCAGGATCTGTGGGTGGAGGGAAGAAACGTGGGAACATGGGTGGGAAGAATGCATGGGTTGGAAAGAAGAAAGGGGGTGGCAGGAAATAGTAAGGGAAGTGTTAGGAGATGAGGGGGGGGGGAGAATGGATGAGGAAGGTGGAAGAAAGGAGAGAAGGAGTCAAGAAAAGGGAGAATGGATGGTAGAATGAATGATAGAAGAAATGAGAGTGATAGGTGAGACGAGCGGAAGTGGAGGTCCAACATAGGGAAACGGGGTGTGTGTGTGTGGACATGCGGGGGTAGATATAAGAAAATAGAAACTGTAAGTGCGTAGGGTAAGCGTAGTTCTTAAGGAGCGAGTAAAGTAGGAGAAATTGTAACCCCTAGGGGAATCAATAAAGTTTATACATATATATATGTATATATATATATATATATATATAGTATATATATATATATATACTATGTTACTTCGGTTAAGAAGCTTTTTGACCCATGCACATAGGTTGAACAAAATTATTAAAATTTTAATAAAGTCTTGAATAAAATACCTGTACTGCATTATTTCTTTAAGTAAACCTTCCACAGCTTCGCGTTGTCTACATAAGTACTCATCTTGAGCCATTGGACTACGATCAGCATGATGAGCCTGCAGTTCCAGCCATATTAAATCCTTCAATTCATTTTGCCACCGAGTTTCTTCGTGACTCATCTGACGACGACAACTACGTTCTGTGCTTCCCTACAAAATATTGGAAATCCACGTTAAACCTAGACGTACCATTTACACAAATTTATTTAAAATGACTACCTAAATTACTTATAAATTGTACATTGTATGAAGAAACGTTGAGAAAATTTTATCTTAGTTATAAAGAATTTTATTAATAAATTTAGTAATATTATTACTTAATATTAATCATCAATTAATAACATTTAATTTAATCATTATAAAGTCTGTACTGCTAACAGTATTAGTAAATTAATATGTTTTTCTATTACTTCAAATCTTCAAAGAATAATTAGAATATAAAAATACGCAAATTAAAGTGTATCTTTTAAGTTTTCATATTGTGCAAGTCTGGTCTTTTAAAAACGCCTCAACCTCAGCTACTAAAATATGTAATCAAAATTCTGGTTTCTATTTAAAAATTTTAATGACTTTCACAAGATGTTCCAAGATCGTCGCAAGGTCAAATAAAGAAGAGTATAGTATGTCCCGCTCGATATCATACAATTTTTGTCCGAAACATTTTTCGTGTCATTATTTTTGGAGATATTTGAGTGTTCTCAGATAAACCGGACACACTGTATAATTACGGGTAATAGGTATGATGTTCGTAAAGAAGTATTGTTGTTTTTTTCAGTTTTGTCGGTAAATGTATTTTTTATCGTCAGTCTTTCTTTCAACATAACATTTATAAGAAAAAATACACATACCAATCTAATGAGGAAAGAAAACGTGTCATGAAATATTTCTCGTTCTTTAAAACTCAACGTCTTCGGTGATTGCACAATCGATTCCGCGCTTTCCAAAAGTACACGTTGCTCGTTAACTTCATGCTGAACTTTCTTCTCCTCTACGTCGACGGGCTTTGACCGCAGACTCCGAAATCTATTTCTAGTTTCGATCTGTAAACAGTTTCAATTAGTTCTCGTTTGAGCAGCAGCCAAAGAACTGCTTGAAACTAAAAAGAAGCAGAATATTTCCTTCAGGAATTTCTAACACGTAATACCTTTATGTGATTCGGTGTGGACGCTTGGTAATGATCGCATTTCTCGGCATAATTGTAAGCTGCCTCCACGTCTAGTTTTAAGTCTCTCTCGTTGCCGCGTAGCAATTTTAAACTTCTCTTGCATTTCCGATTCCCATCTTTCGTCGTGTCAAGGTTCCCGTCATTTTCGCTATCTCGATCCGCTTTATCGCACATCTCGTTAAAAATTATGTTGTCTAATGTATTTCTCCTGCGAATCGTTACTTTTGACGGCGTTTCTTTTTCTGACGACTTAATGTCCCTAAAAATGAACATAACTCGTGATAATTATCTATCTGTTAAAACTAAATTTTCCCTTTAATACGGTAAATAGATAACATAACATATCAGTGCAATTGGTGTTATAGTTAGAACAGTACTAAATCTGAATTAGATCTTGATTAGATTGTATGTAGTTGCTTCGGTCAACGCATTCGAATAAATCTGAATTAAGTGTGGAATACGACCGTGTTATGTTCGGCTAGTTTCAGATTATGACTTCTATTATAATTGGGTCCGATCGGTAACAGGGTTGCGCTAGTGCGAGTAAATTATGCGTCATTTTGGTTTGGGTTCAATTACGAGTAGATTTAGGTTTGGGCTGGATTACGCCCATGTTAGGCCGGAGATAGGCCTGATTAAATATGAGGCGGGGGGCGAGGCTGGATCGGGTTTTCGCAGCGAGGGGTGCGTAGGGGTCTTCGGGCTCCTACGTAACACTCTGACCTGCGTCAAAAACCACGATGGAGCTGATGTTCGACCTACAATCAGGCGACACCTCGGTGTCGTCTGCTGCGGCGAACTTCGGCGAAGTCGGCGGGCCCGGTCTGGTCAAATCCACTTACACCACCTCC